CTTACAGCAGCACAGGTGCAGTGTGGACATCTCACTGGAGCTCTGAAGTGCACGATTTACCTGGCAGGGGTGTAATTGTCCCTGCCTCTACATCAGTCCCTGGAGCACAGGCCTGCCCAAGCCAGATTCCCCTGGGGATCCACAGGATAGAGCTGCTTTTCTCGGCCCTTTGTGCCTGGTCATTGGACTGAACTATGTCTGACACATGGAGCCCCATCCTGCTCTCCTTCCTTCCACCCCGCCACAAGGGACTTTAAAATGTGATCACCTGTCCCACATCACTTCCTGCCTCGCAGGGGCTGCTCCTCCGTAGCCACAACCGGGCTCTCTGTCCAGGGCAGCTGCTCCCCTCCACTTCCTCAGCCAAGGAGCCCATAGCACTTCTCACCAACACTTGCATCTGGCCAAAATGCTGTCTGAGCAGCAGGCAGGTGGCTGTGGATCTCCAGGCCTATGGATCCATGCCTGAGTGCTGCAGAGCACACCTGTCGCAATGGGCAAATCTGAGCACACTGCTGGGGTGTGGGGGAATTTGCTGGATGTAACTGGCTCCTCAGGCCAGCACCTTCTTCTGGCACTGCAGAGGAAGCTGGGGAGGCTGGGCAAGTGTTCCATGTTCTCTGCAGCCCAGGTGTGGTTAAGGAACAAGTCGCTTTTGAAATGTCAAAGTTTCTGTCCACTGGCCTGAGGAGAAGCTGTCTATAACCTGGCACCCAGAGACCTGCTGACAGGGATGTGGAGCAATGTTCCCATTGGAGCCCTGCAGCTTTCCTTATCCTGCTCCACACCCTCCTTTCCTGTCATGTCCTCTCCCCTGGGCACATCCAGGGTATGCAGCAACCTGCCTAATCCCTCTGTCCTTGTGTGTGGCAGGACCCTGCAGCACAAGGCTGATCTTTGACAGAGCAATCCTAGCCTGGTGTGCATCCTGCAAAGTGGGACCACAGGGTCCCTGGAGTGTCACCATAGGGAATCCCACCTGGAGGTATCTCCCTCCCCCAGTACAATCCCCAGCAGGGATGCACTCCTGGCACAGGGCAACACCAGGCATTCCTGCTGGTTTACAAGAAAAACAAACAACAGCCAGAAAGGAAAATGCGCATTCTACATCCCTGGCTCTCTCCCTTCCCCCTCTGTGCTGTGACCACTCCCTGGCCAGGCACAGCCAGGTGCTGCTCAGGGCCATCCAGTTTCAGCCTGTGCAGCACCCAGGGTGGGCAGCTTGCTCAGGGCTCATAGGCACAGTGTGAAAAGGAGAGCTCAAAAAACATGTGATGCTTAAAGGACACTCCACTCAGTAAAGAGGAATGTGAGTCCCAACCAGGCAGGAGCAGATGGCTGGAGTTGGCCCTTCAGAGAGAAGAGAAGGCTTTGGGTCCCCTGGGGCAGTTTGCTCAGCCCAAGACACGGCTGCCATCATGGGGCTGGGGCTGCATCTTGGCAAGGCAGTATAGGGACAGTGCTTGCCTTTGCAGACTGGGCTCTGGTGCTACAGCTGGTGTGCAGGAGCAGAACTGCGTGGGGCTGGGCCAGGATCCCTGGTGAGGTCCTCTTGGGCGGGTGTCCCCCAGAGAGACCCTGTCCGTATGGCACTCTGCTCCTTCTGCCCTGGCATCTCTGGCCTCCAGCCTCACCCGGGATGCTGTCACATCTCTCCAACACAGGGTGCAGCACAGACCAGAGCAGCTCCCAGCCTCCTGTCTAGCAGCCTCTGCCATCCCCTTCTGCACAAGGCACAGCAATCGCCGGTCACACTCTCCCTGATTGTGCAAAGCGCTGCTGTGAACCCCCTTCCTTCCTGCCCTCCGGCCCCTTCCCTCCCACCTACAACCTCCGCAGCGCGGTGTCTTTCCCGTGCCCCGGGGCTGGGACACTGGCAAGGTCCCAAAAAGCGCAAGCCTTCAGCAGGCTCCTCCATGCGGAACAGCCGTGACGTCCTCTGCTCGTCCCCACGGCCTCCCAGGTGGAAACCCCAACAAGCGACCCCAAGACACCCGGGGCGCTCATCGGCCACCCCGGGCATGGGACCCTAGCACTCGTCCCTCCAGCTGAGACTCCCTCAGGCCCTGGGAAGAGCAGCCCCGGCCGGGGAGGGGGCAGAAGCCTCAACCCTGCGCCTCCCCCGGGACCCCCCGCAGCCCTGAGAACCCTCACCCACCCACGGGGCTCTGGGGAGAGGGCTACCCCTGCTCCGACGGCCGCAAAGCCCAGGGGGCAGCGCCGAGAGCCTCCTCAGAGCGGAGGGGGGACCTTCGTCCTTCCCTTCACGTCCTCCCTCGCGGACCCCCCCACACACCGGAATCCCCCCGCCCCTCACGGTGGGGGAGGAAATCGAGGGGGGGGCGCGTGCGTGCGAGCGCGGCAGCGACGAGCCCGGGGGGCCCGCCGCGCCGGAGCCCGCGGCGCGCCGCCCATGCGAGACCCCCGCGGCCCGGGCAGCGCGCAGCGACCCCCGGCCGGGCCAGGCATGTGAAGATGTCAGTGGGCTGTGCATGCCCTGGTGAGTGGCGCGGCGCCGGGGCGGGGGCTGCCCCTTGGGCTGGGGTCCCTGCGGCATCGGGCTGGGTGGGGAGCTGGGGGCCACTTACGGGGTGGGGGCCGCAGTGGTGTCGGGGTCCGGCTGTGGGGCTGGGGTCTCATGGTGTTGCTGTTGGGGTCCGGCTGTGCGGCTGGGGCCCCTAAGAATGGGCGCTGGGGTCCAGCTGTGGGGCTGGGGTCCCCACTGCATTGATGTTGCTGTCCTGCTGTGGGGCTGAGATCTCCAGCTACGGGACCGGGGTCTGCATGGTATTGGTGCTTGGTGTCTCCGTGGCATTCATGCTGGGGTCTCTTAAGGCATTGGTGGTGGTGTCCAATTATGGGGACGGGTTCTCCATGGTATTGGTCCCTGGGACTGCATGGCATTGGTGCTGGGATCTAGCTATGGGGCTGAGGTCTTCACGGTGTTGGTGCTGGGGTCTCCATGGCATTGGTACTGGCGATTGGCATTGGTGCAGGGGTCTCTGTGATGTTGGTGCTGGCTGGGGTTTGGTTATGGGGCTGGGTTCCTGAAGCATGGCTGTTAGTTAGGAGCCGACTACAACACAGGGGGCTTTTCAGTGTAGGTGCTGAGGTTTGGCCATGGTGCTGGTGCTGGGGATAAGCTATGGGTGTCAGCAAGATGTGGGGACTGGAGTCCTAGTCACTCTGGTGGGGATATTGGGTCCAGCCATGGGGGTGATGTCCCCATGGTAGGGGTTCTTGGAATCCAGCTGAAGGGCTGGAGTCCCTAGAGCATGGATGCTTGGGTCTGACTGGGGGATTGGAACCCCATGGCATGGGTGCTGGGACGTGGTTGTGAGGCTAGGACTCCATGGCATGGGTGCTGGGGTTCCTATGGCATGGACGCTGAGATCTGTTGGACTAAGAGATCTGGGACCCAAGAGCACGTGGATGCTGGTACCGGCCTGGAACTGGGACCCCACAGGCAGAGTGCTGCAGGGGCATTGGGCAGGCATGCAGGCCCTGTGAAGAGTGACTCCGAAGTGCCCCTGTGGCCGGAGCAATAGCTCTGTGGGGTGCCACAGCTGCCCGTGTGGGTGTGAGACACAGTGTCCCTGCAGAGGCTTGGCAATGCTGCTGGTGGACATGGATGCTGTATGGCCCCCCACCATGGCCATTGTGGGGTATCTGCTGCTGGAGAGCTTCTTTCTAATTCTGGAGCCTGCAGGCTAGCAAGGCTGCAGGACAACATAGGAGGTGTGATGAGTTGGTGAGGTCTCGGCACCTGGGAGGGTGCTGCCACAAGGTTACTCCTCTGCACGCCTGGGCTTGGGGGCAGGTTTGGGGCAGCTGGCCTGGCTGCATTGCCTGCTGCTGTGTGTGGAACCTTGCTGTGCCAGGAACAAGGCAGGGCAGTGGTCTTGGAGGGCTGCTGGAACCTTGTCCAGCGCCAGGTCCCCGTGGCGCTGGCCAGCAGACAGGGAGCCAAGTTTGGGGGGCCGTGGGGGAGAGGGTTCTGCCATTTCCCTGGGCATCTGGCACATGGGGTCCCTGTGGGGGGACAGCAGGGATGCTCCTCAGCCCAGTTCCCTTGGCAGCATCCCTGTGGTCCCGAGAGAGCCTCCTGCTAGGCCAGAATCCCGTGCTGGGGGGCTGCTGGGGGCAGTGGGGTGCTGTGACAGCACACGGTCTCCGTGCCTCCCCCACCTCTGCCGAGGGGTTTGCAGCTGGATAACCGGGGTGGGGAAGGGGTGCCCCTGCACGGCGGCCCCCCGCCCCTGCGCTGCCTGCGCCTCGCCGCCGTGTTTCTATGAAGCCAGGCGGCCCCTTCCCCCATCCTCCTCCTCCTCCTCCTCCTCCTCCATCTCCCACTGGAAGCTGCCAGAGCGCTGCTTCCTCAAGCAGAAAGTCACGTGAACCTCCCTGCGAGCCAGGCCGAGCAACCACAGCACCCGCCCCGCAGGCACCCCGCACCGGGGGCACGACACCCCTCCCGACAGCCGCGGCCTTGGCGGGGGTCCCGCCTCGGCGGGGCGAAGGCCGTGTGACGGCCAGCGGTGGGCCCCGCCGTATTCCCCGGGAGCTGGCCCCACGCCACTGGGAATGTCATTGGCGTGTTGGTGGGTGCAGAGAGGGGGGTCCTCCCTCGGTGCGGTGGTGGGGGGCCGTGGGGTCACTCCTCACCTGGGAGTATCCCTGTGGATGGCTTCTTGTGCTGTGTCCCCCCCACTCCGGCCCTGCCCGCTGCCCCAGGGCAGGGAGGACGCGAGGCTGCTGTGCAGTGTTGCCGTGCAATGTACATGTGCCCCCTGCGCCTTCCCCCGCTCCCCCGCCGGGGCTGGGTGGCACATCCAGAGCCTGCGCCCCCCTCCCCCTTCCCCTCCCCGGACTGTTTATCGGAATATAGAAAAAACAAGCTCTGCCGCTGGCCTCCCGCCAGCCAGAAACATTTAATGAGCCGCTCTGCCCAGGCTGCTCTTCAGGGCTGCATTAACTTGGAGGAGTTTCCTGCCTGGGAGCTGCTGCCGGGGGGGGGGGGGTTTGGCAGCCCCCCTTCCAAGTTGTACTCTCCCAGAGGGATAATGTACTCCTTGCCATCCCTGGGGGTGCATCCTGCCCCACTGCAGCTCCTCTTGCACCCTGCCAGAGATGTTTCCCTGCTCCTTTCTTCCCCTCTGCAAGAGCCTTGGAGCAGGGAGGCTGTCAGCTGGGAACCTGATGCACTCTTGTGCCCGAGGTTGGTGGGGAGCTGCTGGGGCCAGTGAAAGCCTGAGGGGGGCTTTGCCCCCCACCTCAGATATGGAGAGGTGAGCAGCAAGAGTGTAATGGGCTCAGAGGGGAGGTGGCAGCGGCTGGGGCAGCAGCTGTCTGGTGCTGGTGGTGCTGTGCCCAGGACTGCTTGGAGCAGACAGGTCTTGGCATCCAGACCCCAGCGGGGCCCTGACCCCTGGGGGCACCTCTCACTCTCCCAGCATGCTCTGCACTTTCTTCCTTAATTATTTTTATTATTATCATTGTTTTTCCCCCTGTAGTGATGGTGTCAGTGCAGGGGGGGAGGAGGGAAGCAAAGCAGAGTGGAGCTGTTCTCCCTCCCTGCGGGGCTGGCTCCAGCTTCGTGGCAGGGAAGCAACTTTCCCAAGGTCAGCACCTTCCCTGGGACACATTGCAGAGAACCAGCCTGTGCGCCCCTCTGGTTGGAGGGAGAGCTTCCTAAGGCACGTGCTGTGGGTCCCGGGATGGAGATGTCCAGCCAGGGCCCGGCCCGTTGCCGTATCCCTCCCTTCTGCCGAGCTGGCGCCGTGCATCCCCCACTGTCACGAGGCCGAGCTGTGCCACATGCCTTCTGCGACAGATGCGCTGGGAAAGGGATGGCAGCGAGCGGGCTGCGAGCCGCGGCGGGGGGGCCAGGCAGCCCTGACCTGTGTGGGCTCTGGCTCCCAAACACCCCCAAGGGAGCCTGGCACCTTGGGGAGCCCCTGGGCCGGTTGGGGAGGAGGGGAGCAGCAGGGGCTCCGAGGCCTCATTGTGCATATTGATGTGCTCTAGTCCAGGCTTTCTTCATGTTGCCAGTGATGTTTGGGTGAAAGGTGTTACTAGCCCTGTCCCTCTCAGCAGTGAAGTGCCTGACACTAGATACTGTGTGTGCTGTGTTTCCTGCCCGCTCCTGGCATGCTGTGGCAAAGTCGATGGGTTTGTGGCTGCCTGGTGCTCAGTGAGGGGATTCCTCAGGGGTCCTCTTGTTGGCGTAAGGCACCATTGCAGCGCTCCTTGGGGTCATTGTGAGCTCAGCCAGGATTTGCCTGGAGAATCCTGCATGGGTTAGTGCCACACCAATGCCAGCTGGTTCAGCACTGTGTATTTGCACTGGGCCCCAAGTTTATTCCAGGAATGTTGTTACCTGCTCAGCACAAACTGCTGTGAAAGCTGCTCTCTTGCGAGTGAGGGGATGGGACCTCCAGGGCAGGGAGGTACCCTTGTGGCCAGGAATGCACTGGTCAGGTGGCTGTGTGCCCCCAGGCAGGGCAGGAGCCAAAGCAGCTCAAGTGTCCTCTGCCCATCCCTTTACTGTCAGAATCCTGGGTTTCATGCCACCCTCTCCTCCCACACTGTGCTCTGGGATTCTCCTGCCATATCCGTGTTGCTAGAACACGCGAGGCATGGGTCTGTGTGGTGTGCCAGGAGCATGCTGGGACTTGGGAGCGTGGTGCCCGTGCACAGCAACTGTTGGTGTGTCCTGGTGCACCAGCTGCACTGTCAGCGAGAGCCCCCGGCTCTGTGCAGGGTGACACTGAGCCCTGGGGCTGCCGTTGTGCACAGTGTGGGTGCACCCCTGGGCCTGGGGAGCAGTGGGTGTGGGGACAGCTCCCCGGGTGGTGGGGTACAGGCAGGATGGGGCTGGGTGACCGTTATCAGCTGCCCGCAGGCTGCGGCTGTGGTTTCCTGCCGGTGCCGGGGGGAGGGTGCTGGGGAGCAGGCAGGGCTGCCAGGGGGCTCCTGGGCCCCACCTGGAGCAGGGATAGTGGCAGTAGTCTGCCCCTCTCCCAGGGCCTCTGCTGGGGAGGGTTGGGATGGCTGCAGCAGGGGTGATGCTTGGCAGGTTTTTGGGAGGTTCTCTGCTGTGTGCTCATGGGGACGTGGGAAAGTGGGCTGTGCACCATTGTTGGGAGTCCCTTTTGAGCAGGAGTGCTGGTGGGGCTCGGGAGTCTCCAAAGCTGTCAGACCAGCCTCCCAGTGCAGCTCACCCCCTTCTCTTCTGGGCAGGTCATGGATGGGGATGAACGTTAAACCCGAAGCGTAATCTCCGCTGTGGCAGGCGCTGGCCCCTGTCCAGCCCTGACCCGCCCTGCCCACAGGGCGACCGATAACACCCTGCCCGCACCCCTCTGCTGCCACTTCCTTTGGGGGGCCCTGTGGGATGTAGCTCCAGCCCCGCTTTTGCAGGGTGTCTCTCTGTCCCAGCTTTGTAGAACCCACAGTCAGGTAGCAGTGGTTACCCTGCGCCAAGGTGACGGTGCCTGTGCCCCAGGATGGACCCATGGTTGAGAGAGTGGTTGGGAGGGCCCCTGCTTTCTGCAGGAGCAGCAGCCTCAGGCCCTCTACTACACACCAAGGGACAGGTGTTGTGTATGCAGCCAGATTTCTGCAGTACAGCCCAGGTGGCTGTACATAGTGCTTGCAGCCCAAGCCAGGCTGGGACATTGGTTGTGTTGGCTGGATCATTCTACAGCAGCCAGTTGCACCAACCTCTGCTCTGCAATGTGCATTCTTCTCCGACTGAGGTCTTGTGCAGCCTGGGGGTCTCTTTTCCAGGGCAGAGGTTGCTCCTGCTTGCTGTCAATAGCTGCAGGGCGGTGGGTGCCAGCTTTTGCCTACACCAGCTCCTGCCTCCCTACTAGGAGCCCATGGCAGCTCGTGGCATTGCAGGCACACAACTCTGCTGGGCATGGGGCAGGTCCAGGCACCCCGACCTGCCTGCTTCAACTGGCCCGGGGTGGGCCCGGGGTGAGCCCGGGGCAGCTGCGGGCAGGGGCAGGCAGGAGCACGGCAGGGGAGCTCTCTCCCTGCCGGGGATGGCAACGCAGAACTGCTGGAGGAGCCTGATGTGGTGCGGCGTGGAGTTGCATGGGAATGGGGGTGCCACCTGGGTACAGGGAGTACCAGGCTGCCAAAAGTCCTTGCGGAGGGGCATTTCCCTGCTGAGGCTGGGGAGATGTCATTATGCTCCTCCCAGCTTGGTGCCCCTGCCAAATCCTTTGGGCAGCCACGGCATGCCGAGTCGCCCTGCCTGCTGCCAGCGCGTGCGCAGCAGGAGGCTTGGACGGCGGCAGGATTCACCCCCAGAACCCCAGGCTGCCCCCGAGTGGCATAGATGGGGCTCTATGTCAATCCCTACAGGAACTGGACCTGGAGCTGTGGGAGCTGCCATCACCATCCCACCGTGGCAGTGTCCCTGCTTGGCCTAGCTGGTGGGGAGGAGGCAGCTGCTAACAGGAAGGACACGCATGTTAGCAACAAAAACACGGCAGTGAGAGGAAGCAGAAGCAATGCATTATTGATGGAGCTATTTGATGCTGCTATATTCGGAGAGCTGCTCCGGAGTGTTCAGCAGCACCGTGTGGGGGGTGGCAGAGGGTGGGCTCAGTTGGTGGAGTTACCTGCTCCGAGTCAGCCTTGTACAGCCATGTCCTTTACCTTCTCCCAGGGGAGCTTCTAGTGTGGGAGGGCACAGGACATGTGGGTACCAGGAGGGATGGCAGCCTTAGTGGATGGGGTTTGGTGGGTGGCAGCTCCTAGCTATGTAAATCTCTTATGGATGCCAAGGGTCCTCTGTGGCTTGGGAGACAAGAGTGGAGGGAGTGCAGGGGGAACAGTGGGTCTGGGACCAGAATGCTCTCTGACCAGGGCTGAGTTCCTGGAGTTGCAGGACTGGGTGTTGAGGATTCTGCTTTGGTTGTCTTTGAAGCAGCAGTGCCTGTCCCTTGGAGGGTAGATGGTCTTCTTGGGGGACAGAGGGCAAGCGTAGGATGCTGCGGCTGTGCAGCCATGCTGCATGTCACCCCCTCCCTGCTGTGAGTTCCCAGGCCAGGAAAGGGGCTGTAAAACGAACCATTCTTGTAACATGAGAGAATCCACCTGGAGGCTCTGGAGGAACCTTAAAACCCTGCAGCTCTGGCAGGCTGGCCCTGGGCTTCTGCAGAGGAACTGGGGCTCACTACTGTGGGTGGCATGCTGGGGCTGAGGTCTTGCAGGATGTGCATTGCGACATCTCAGGGGGCAGCACAGGAACACTGTGGGGCATTTCTCTGGTGCTGGTGCCACAGGGAAACCCCATTCTAGCAGGATGTGCCACAGCTTGCTTGTGCACTGCACCTTCCCCGTGGAGCCTCTGGGCAGCCCAGTGGCGATGAGGCTGACCCATGACACCAGAACAAGGCGTGATGTGAGGGTGGACGCTCCATGTGAACCTCATGCACTCCGGGGTTCTGCACCCCACTGTAACCTTTCTCCACATCCTCTTGCTTTGGAGAGGATAAGCACCAGTGCATGCACTTGGTTGCTGCTTGTCCACTGCTCACATACTCAGATTGATTTCTCTGTTCCACGCAGGATGCTCAAGATGTGGCCCTGTAACTTCTCATCCTGCTCTGGCAGCTTTTCCCCAGCCCCTTGGCTTTATTTCTGTCTCTGGGTGTCTGGAAGTGGTTCTGGCTTTGAAGGGTTAATCCCAGGAGCCCCCAGGATCTGCTGCCTGCCTGGCATGACTCACCATGTAGTTTCCAGCCTCCCCCAAGCCTCCTCTGGAGAGATGGATCTGTGGCTTCTCCAGCCAAAAACGGGGGCCCCTCCTGCTCCAGAACTCCCTTTTTATCTGGTCATGCATAGCTTTAGGGAGGAGAGAAGCCCCTCCTTGAGAAACAGGGAAACAAAGCATGTTTTTGTTTGAAGCATGGTAGGATTTGCAGGGTTGGCTCTTGTGTTCTGGAAAGGGGGGGCTCCAGGATGCATGCTGTGCTGCAGACTGCATCTGCATACCTGTGATGGTGCCCAGGTCTGGCTGCTCTTTGGACACGTCCATGAGGTTTGGAAGTGCCAGGCCAGTCTGTCTCCAGTGCAGGCTGTGCTGTTTGCAGAGCTAGCAGATTTTTATTATTATTTTTTATGTAAGCGCGTGTCCATGTCCCTGCTCTACGCCTGCGCTTGCCAGGGCCCCGGCCGGTGTCAGCGTGAGCATGCCCTGCTCCTGCCCTGCTCGCCTGGGATCCCTCACGCACACTCTGCAGGCACACCAAGCCACGCGGATCAGAGA